ACTTCATTCCCCCTATGCTGTTTTCGGTACCTTTTTACCGGTATTTTGTTCGTTTTTGAGCTTTCATATTGTACTTTGTAGTCTTTTGTATGAACGTTGCTTGCGCAAACATGTCTGTTTACTTGCGTCGTATTACTTTGCAGCAGAAGTGTTCTGTCATTTAAAAACCGCTCCGGCTTTAGAAGGAAAGTTGGGGAATGACATTGAAATAGGAAATCTCGGTGGTACAGGTGACCTTGCGCTGCATTCCAGGGAAATTTGGGTTTAGGTTAAGGCCAGGGGAAGGGTAGGGTTAAAGGCTAGGGTAAGGTTTGGGTTAGGGTTAGCACATGAGAATTTCTAACGTTCCTGGGATTTAGCGAATGGTCATCTGTACTATGGACGTCCATATTCCCATAGGTTAAGGATTATTTATGGCCCCGATCTGTTGAGAAGTCACGTGCATCGCACAGATAAGTGTATAATGTATTTAGAAGTAGAATAAAACAAGCTTGAATCGGTGATCTGTTGGTTGGAAGTCCAACCCCCATAACCATTTAACCACGGGCTGATTGTCCATTAAAACGATAGAAGAGAAGGAGGAGGAGGGTGCTTACCGATATAGGACCCCAGCAGAAACCGCACAGCGGTTAAACCTGGGATTGGTTATGGCCGGCTGATAACAGCTTATGGACCAGAAATAGCCCTTCCAGACTCCTTCACTTTTGTTGGTAATAATAATTCTCACGGAAAACGTCAGGAAAATAAAGGTCTTGTTCCAGTGGTCGCGTCTTGTTCTTCTTCTAATACTCTGTCTATGATACTGGCCCTTGAGCGGCTGCGGTCGGGGCTTGAAATTGAGTCCCAAGGAATAAATCGATAAATGTGTGCTGTAACGCGATCAGCGAGCGCTCACCTCCTATCCCAAAACGCTTAATATAGCGGATCGCAACCAGCAGGAAAACGTGCCCCTGGTTCAATGGTTGGATCTCCAACCAAAAGAACGCAGGTTCAAGTTTCTGGGGGTTGAAAGTCTTGAGGTGACGGCTGGTATCATATAAATTTTCGAGGATGGTGTTTAAGTTTGTAGTCAGACAATATTTGAGGTACAAAAACTATATCTAGCGGAGTATTATTTGACTAGCCGGAGTATGTGCCAACATGCGTACGTTACACCTCGGTGCCCTCTGGGGTTTGGTTGCGTTTTTTGTCATTTATCATTTAGAGGTGTGTGAAAACTATGTCGAGATGCCTATTGAGCAGTCGCCAACAATGCGGGTTCTCCTCAGTCCAAGTTTGCCCACAATGTTCAGTGCGTACATGGTCTTACCTTCTCATGCCTAGCATACGTTCCTGTACACGCGTATGGGTATATTTCTTTGTTTTCCTACCTAGACCGCGTCACAATTTTACATGACATTTTGTAGCCAAGATCTTTTTTTATCGAGGTAGCGATCCCGGTCCTTAGACTGTACAAACTGTGTGCGTAAAGCAGTCGAGGATTGTTTGTTTATCCTCTATTGGCTGGTGTTTGGCCTTCGGAGATCGCAGCTTGCTTCTTTACCATTCGGAATGGTCTCTGCTGTAGTCATTGCTAAGCCAGTCCTGACCGCTACCTCTTCATCGAATTTAGTTTTTTATGTTTCTTTTTCAATTTGTGACCGGCTTGAGTTCGCCTATGTCTTGTCCGTACCGAATCTGGCTTGTCGTTGCTGATTCCATTAGCTGGACCGCATAGAAATCGTCACAATGTGTAGCCAAGTTTCTTACGAGTGTTTCGATTGTCGTGCGGTCCTTCTCCTAGTCCATTAATCCTGTAAAGCGATGGCATAACCACAAGTTGTGCCCTGTTCCACGAACAGAAATAGCGGGTTTATGCTACTCACTGGACTAGCAGGTTCCCTCATGGGGTTCTGTGTTCATTTCCCATCCTTTTCGGTCTAATTAATAGTATAGGAGACACATTGGGTCCGGTAGACCGAACTTTCTCTTTTAACTGAACTATTATGGAGATTTGAGAGACATTTTCTACGGCTTCCGTTGCCTTCTCAGTGCAGCAGTGAATGATTGAAAATGTTCTTTTGAAAGAAAGTAGCTTCGGGGTTAGCGCCTCTAAATTAAAAGGCCTTAGGTATCGGACTTACTCACTTATTAATCCCGATCTTTCACTTTTAGGGACTCTTTTGCTTTTCTAAAGAAGTTGGTTTTTCTAAATAACGTAATATTAATTAATAGATGGTAAAATGCCTTCGTCTTAAGAGCGCTCGTTGCTTTACGGCTGTAAGACTCTGTGGGACGCAGCGTGGGATGCTTTTGTATAACACAGGTATTTTTGCAAAATTAATGAGTCAGAGAATCTTCTGTACCTTTTGTTGCGTTGCCTCATCCGTTTTTGTAAACTTTGTTTGCCACGAATCGTTTGCTTTTGTATTGCCAAATACAATTGTAGAATTGTTCATCAAATACAACCATTCATATTGAAACTTTTTGTTTTCACCATTTTCAGTTTAATTTGAGCTGGCAATTTTCAGTTGCACGCGAATCTGCTGGCGAAAAGCAACAGCTTGACACACCCACGCGCAATGTTCCCCCAGTTTATCTGTTTTCGTTCAGCATTTAAGGCAAATTAAATCGAAAAAATTAGAAGTTTCCAC